TCCGGTGACATGGCAACCTTACCCTTTTTAGACTTCATTGTAAACTCACCTTTTACAATAGGGAGGAGCAATATGTGTCCTTCAGTACTGCTGGACTGCAACCCTCATTATCACTCGCTTTTGGCTATTCTGGCTATTGCTGGCTGGAGTTGCAGTCTTAACATCTGAAGGGCTTCAGGTTGCCCTCCCTCAAGCTCAGAATCCTTAACTTAAAACAAATGGCTCCAGTTTGTACACACTGCCCTATATAGCGTCCTTGTACCCAGTGTCATTTCTGATCATGTGGAAAGAAGCAAGTTAAATAAGAACACTTACATTCAAAGAAACAGACACATGCCACAAGAAATCTTACCATTCACATTCAAAGATCAAGGGGTGTTCCAAAAACAACATGGTTTAGCTCAGTGGTCCCCAAACTTTTTTTGCTTACTTCCCCCTGATACCACAGCCAAGGCTTTACTATTAGATATGGGGAATTATAATTAGCTCAAATGGAACTGGCTGCATTAATTAGGATCTTTTACCTGTGTGCACCAGTTCAGAAAGTATAAGAAGTCCAGAGGCAACCTCAAGTTACAAACTTTAATTTAAAGGGGGGAAATCCACATGCATGCACGCACACACACACACACACACACAAGGACTAGAGAATGAAGAGTTAGGTTGGAATAGAAAAGGCTTTAGAAGAGGACATACGACCTGTATATTTGTGGCTCCTTCTTCTGCTATTGATGTTACGATGGGCAATGGAGACTCATTCGCTCTAAGGACTTTATCACATGGGGGAAATCCTATATAGAAATGGAATTTAAATAGAAAAAAACCCACAAAAGCGGGCAGATTTTCACACGATGCCGAAATTAAAAAGTGGCTTTTGACTACTTTCCATTCGGGTCAAGCACAGTTTAACATAGACATCGTGTGAAAATCTGCCCGCTTTTGTGGGTTTCCCCCACCTTTTAAATCCCATTTCTGTAAGTGACAAGGGGTTCAGATGGTAAACTGACAGAGCTTCTGTCTTTACCAAGCTAATTCAATGGACAAAGGAAGGTCCAGAGTTTAAATTGGATTCCTGTGCCCTGTGCAAAAAGGACCAGGGCTTGCATGGACCAGATCAAAGAAAGCCTTTGATATGGATCAATATGCTTTGAAGTTTAGTTTTCCAAGAAAGGAGGAAGGTGTGAATTCTGAGACAGGATAGCCAGATGGATCTGTTTACATTTTCCCATGCCAAAGGCCATTAATTGTTTATTACCTCCTCTTTGTATGTGGGAAACATCTCCTAGTGGCAACTCCAAGAAAATACCGTACCCTTGTGTACGTGAAGAACTATCTTGAGCATATGGTGGCCTCAACATAGGATGGGTCATACAGGGGATGTTCCCTTATCACTTGATATCAAAGCGGGGTCCTTTATCCAGGTAACCAATGTATGTAACACTGCTTACCTTTGGGACAACAACCCTAGTGCCCCCCCCCAACGTGTGTTAGGTATACTTGATATTAGGGAGATTATCAGACGGGGGGGGGAAGCCAGGAGTAAAAGACATACTCCTGGCATAATCGCGCAATTGTGTTGAAGATTTTCGGACAACATCATACTCATCCAGGATTTATCCCGTAAAGATACAGGAATGATCCAGCAACAAACCATTAATGGGGAAGTCCCAGGAATGGTTTAGTTGCAGGAGCATTCCTGGATCTTTACAAGATATGTCCTGAATGAGCACGATGTGCCTGAATATCTTCAGCACAATCATGCAATAATGCCAGGGGTATACCTTTTACTCCCAGCTTTTCCCCCCATCTGATAATCTCCCAGGTTTACCGTTCTACTGCAAATTCAAAACAACCAGTCTTGGTCATTGCTCCTTCTGCACCCAGTCACCTTGGGAGCAGCAACTGAGCAGCTGGCTGAGCAGTGGCCAATAAGCCTTTTGCCCATGCTGGCCTTGCAACAAAGGCCAGCACAGGTGAGAGGCTTCTTGATTGCTGCTTGACTGGCTGCTTGGTCACTTTTCCCTGGGAACATCAACCAAGCATCTAGTTGAGTAGCAACAGAGAAGCCTCTCACCTCTGCCAGCCTTGTGGCAAAGGCCAATGTGGGCAAGAGGACTCTTGGTTGCTGCTCAGCCAGCTGCTCAGTTGCTGCTTCCAAGGTGACCAGTTGCAAAGGGAGAAAATTGTACCCAGCAATAAAGGACTCCCAATCTTTCTTTGTTGGCGCAGAGAGGGGCACAGCCAGTGTTTGTGTGTAGCAGGGTACAGAGAGGCCACGTGCTTTGGACTGGAGATGTGTAGACACAGAAAGAACGTCACTGGGTTACCTTGGGCATATCACACTCTGTCAGTATCAGAGGAAAGCAACAGCATACCCCCTTTGAATAAAAATTGCCAGGAAAACACCTTAGGATCGCCATAAGTTGGAAATGAGTTGAGGTCACACAACAACATTACTAGAGTTAGCTTAGGTGAGCCTTGGGCATTCATGGTTCCCATTCTGCCCACTGCAAATTTAAGGAGGAGAATTTGGATAATCCAAATTGGAAGTTAAAGGTTTTAGTATAGTTGTGGTCCTGCTAGAGGAAGAAAGAGGAGAGAGCACACAGGTGGGAGATTAACTGGGGTACAGTTCAGTATGGTATGGTATAGGTTTATTTAAACTCTGTCTTTACCCTGCAGCTGGAACTCAAGGAAGCTTACAACAGCAACAAAAATGAAATGCAAGTAAAAGCAGACATGGATAGGAATCCAAAAACATCCAAATGATACCTTTATTGGGTCAACCAAAATACATAACTACATGTTACATCCTTTCAAAGTCACACTAGCTTCTTCATCAGTCAAACAGGAGAAAAAAATGAAGATGTTAGTCTTGGGCCTGCATTTTCTGTTTCTGATCTCAGTTCAAATGTTAGGGGAGGACTATCGGCAGGCTGGCTTCTCCACCTTGGGCCATGTGGTTGCTGGAAAATTTTGCAAGCCAAGGAAATTTAATGCCCATTTGCAATCCAAAGAAGATGTTTCCTTGGAATCCAGCATGTCTCTTTCCTTTGTGAAGCCTCAGGTTCCTATGCAGGTGGAGAATGTTGAATTTCTCAAGAAGTCTTCATGTTTTGCATCAGGAAAACTTTAGGTGATGTAAGGGTAAATAAAGCATGCCAAGCAGTCCCAATATTAGAAAAAATGGCTTTACCTTTGTTGGAGGCAGAAGTTTTATGGATAAGAATATACATAAAATTATATACAAATAGTATGTTTAAAATGCAGTTAAATGATCTACAATATATATTTTTTTAAAAAACTGAAACATATTCCATTAAAAAACCAGAAGACAAAAATGATACTACATATTAAGAATAGCCCTTTTGTGGTAAATATTTTTAGCAAAAAAAGATTGTTTGCAAAAGCCTATTGAAATAAAAAAGGTTTTCATTTGTTGACAAAAGATACCAAATAGTCTACTCTCCCTAGTCTGTCGCTCTTTTTTTATAAAGTATGAACAGGGACATTGTGCATTCCATATGAATCAATAATTCTACAGTAATTTAAATCCATTTCTATTTCGGAGAAATAGATGAGAACAATTCATCTGGGCAAAATGGAAGCTTCATAGATTACAATACAAATCTAAGGGCCAATTATACCTACCATGAAATACAAAGGAACATGAACTCAGGTAATGGCATCTCTCCTCTTCCACCAGATAGGATTTGCACACCCAATGTCATCTTGTTTTCATTAGACAGAAAATTCCCATGCTTGATAGCAGCCATTACAAGGATTATAATGAAACTGGAAAACAACCAAATGAACAAGTTTTATGCTGACTGCAAATGAGGAAATGCTAGTCAAGCATTTTTATGAAAGAATTCAATTATATTTTGATCCCTTTTAGCCAATTATTATTATTTATAATTGAGTGTTGTGAATGTTTTGATCCATTTTGTTCTCTTATTATTTCGAACTGACTGTGATGAGCAGTAGTTCTTGGCCTAACCCTAAACAGTATGATTTCCCCCCCTTCAAATTAAATTAAATAAATATATAATCACTATAAAAGACCATTTAAAAGATCTTGCCACAGTTCATCTAGCCCTGGAGGCTTAAATTCAAGGTAAGTAGGTGTGGGTCTAATTTTTGCACAACTGAAGTACAAGGAGCCTTCTTTGCATCCTTCACTAGCAATTGCACAAGAGCATTCTTAACCATAAATAAATAATGAGGAATGTGTCAGTCTGTTCACTGGTGTCAGTAAACTGACCAGTCTCACACCACTGTATCAGCAACCACACAGGGGTATTACCACAGCTAACACTCTTTAAGTTTGCACATTTATGGTCTCTTCACTTGGAAATCCACAAGTAGCACCTTTCCCTATAATAAAAACATTTAGGGTTTTGCTATGGTTACACGGCAGTGAGAGAATAGTAGTCTGTATCTGCCCAAAGCCACATCAATATATTTGTTGTTGTTGTTGTTAGAATCATAGAATCATAGAGTTGGAAGAGAC